AGATAGTGCAGAGGTTAAAATTGCTTCGACAAGCTAAATGGAATAACGCACTGTTAGTAATTATATTATTATTATCCTAACTAGAACGGAAACAGTACATTTCCGTACTCGACACCGTTATCCGAAAAAGCTGATTTCGGGTAAGTAGTCGAATGTGGGAAAGTATGAGTTCAGATCAAGCATTTTTCTACAAGTGAATATGTTACGAAGCTCTGATAAAACTTTTATATGCGAAACAATTCCTGATCTAAATTGCTTGTATAGATATAGGGTGATGCACGCACACGAACGCTTGTACAAAAAACATACAAAACAGGAACTTTTTCATAAAATTCTACATCTCTCAAAAAATTTTCCATTTCTATTATCGAATTTCTGCACCACGACAATCTAGTTAGAATCATGAAATGCAAGTGCAGCGTTGCCCGATTGTGGGCTGACCAACATGCTATCCATTGAAAGTGTTCGTATAAACCTGGGCTCACAAATACACTATTCACATCAGGTGTTCAGTTGAAAGAACACATTGACAATTTCTCTATACTTCCAATAACTCAATCCGGAATTCGTAAAGGACATAGTTGTACAACTGCTTTGTTGCATATAGTGGACGATATTATAAGAGCACGTGACGCAAAAAATAATACAGTATTGGTACTTCTTGATTTTAGTAGAGTGTTCGATACTATCAACTTCGATTTAATGTTATTAATTCTTGGACTCTCTAAAATGTTACATTACTCATCAGATCGTATCTCACCAACCGTCAACAAAAGGTTACTATAGAAGGAAACAGCTCACAATATTCAAAGCTGATATGTGGAGTGCCACAGGGCTCTATTTTGGGACCCCTTTTGTTTGATATCTACACATCTCAACTTGCAAAATGTTTAAAATTTTGTATTATACATTTGTATGCAGACGATACCCAGTTGTATTATAGCTTCTCACCTGAAATGATTGATAATGCGTGTATTCAAATCAATAATGATTTAAAATTATTTGTGAAAAATGCTTCTGATCACTGCTTAAATATAAATTGTAGTAAATCCAATGTTATTGTTCTCGGACCAAAAGGCCCTGGAAATGATATTTGCGTACTAGGCGACATTTTTGAGGTTAAGTGGAAGAGCAATTGAATGATGACTTGTCATCATGTAAATTAAACTTCGCCTTTTATCTTCATATAATAAATGAACTGTTCCTGATTATATATGTGGGTAATGCCGTCTTCGAGCGCAAGGTGTGCTCAGTTACCAAGAGCCGCAGACAAGGTTCCTTTTTATTCAGCTTTGAAGAAGTTTCGTGATTATCTGAATGGTCTGATAACTGAAATCGACGAGAACGAAATGGTTTTTTCGGAGCCAAGTTTAAAATCTTGCTACGAGGCAGAACCAAAACCAGAGTCATTTTCACCAGAACTCACAGATATCAGTAATGGTGTCATTCAGAACGAAGATGGTACCATTATACCATGCAAAAAGAAAAGGGGTCGACCGAAGAAGATAAAAATTGATGGCGAGAAACCTCTTCCGAAGCCGCACGTTCGGAAACCCCCTTCGGCAATGAATAATAACTGTGATTTTCCAAAGAAAAAAAGAGGACGGCCTAAGAAAGTTAAAGTCGAGAATATGGATTTGAATCAGCCAGATAACACATCGACCAACATGTCTCAGTGCTTTTCGAGTCCGTCACCAATTCAGTCTCCGAATAATTTCTACCCGATGGTTTCTGCTATGACACCTCCTAATAACTCGAGTAACTTGTATGCTCCTCAGCCCCAGTCGTATAATCAGTCGCCGAGGCCCCCTTATAGTCAGTCTCCCAGGCCGACGTACAGCAATTCTCCCAGACCACAATACAGTCAGTCTCCGAGACCGGCATACAGTCAGTCACCCAGGCCCCCATACAGCCAGTCTCCCAGACCACAATCCCAGCCTTTTACCCACTCCGATCTTAGTTCGGAGATAAGCGCAGCCATTAGTTCCGAGCAGCTGGGCTCTCCGGCATCTCCCATCGGCCCGCCTGACTTTGAGCCCCCGACGAGCATGGCGGATGAAGCAGAGTGCCGCCTGGGCAGTCCAGCCCCTTCGACCAATAGCGAACAAACACACTATCATTACCAGTCTTACAACGTGGATCCCCCTCATACGCAGCCAGAGCGTCAGTACCCGTCTCCGCGGCAAAACCAGGACATTGCTTCCAAAAGCTTGTCAGGTCTGGAATCTCTGGTGGATCAGATTCCAAGCATAACCGAGGCCGAGGCGCCCATTGGGGAAGCCCCAGAGCAGTACGCCGGTCAGTTCAACAATTATACTCTGTCGTCCTCTTCGAGAGCTAGTCCTGTCCCCTACAACTACCCCCCTAGTTCAGGTTATCCACTGTACCCTACTCCCACCTGGAGTGGTCACTACGAACCGATGCCTCTGGGCTATCCACAGATCCCGTACGCCCAGAACTATGGGACTGGTCTGCACGTCCCCAGTCCCAACTACCCGTACTACAGTTACCCCCAACCTACACCGACCCACCCACCCGGATATCCACCCTACTTGGGGGGGTTCTGATTGGTTTCAGTCACTGTATTTTCATGTTGTGTACCTGTACCATATGTTCAGCTAGTACCTAGCAAGTCTGTCCGCTTGAGTACAGTTGGTCACTTGCATTTTGATGACAACAGAGACTTGCACAGGGTAAATGGTGATATTTTTTTGTCATAAGTATTTTTCTCTAAACTTTGAATGTTAGATAGGCCTTGGAGCATTTCAATCTGATATTGATGATATAATTTCACATGTTTACTAGTTCAACACGAACACAGCATTACTTGTCTTGACTCGCGTTTCACCAAGTTAAAGTGAACTATACTATATCGGTACAGTTCATCTCGTGATGACGTCAACTTGGTGAAACGCGCGTCAAAAAGAGTATTGTTTTGGATTTATTTTATGCCAAAGGTTCAAGTTCTTTCTTTCAATTGTCACTAGTATTGCCAAGGGAAATAAAAAAAATATAATTGAAACCAAGGATTTATATGCTGCATATTTTTTCTCTATGGGCGTATCTTGAGATGTTTTAGTACTAAATGGACTGAACTAAGTCTAGTATTCATCTATCCATATCGTAGATTATCAATCACTGAAAAAGTCCTCATTACGTAACAACAACATTTTTCATTAAACTACCAGATGCAATGAAAACGTCCTTCAGAAGTCATTTGATTTTGTGTTGTAAATTACGTTTTTTTTAATATGTACACAATTTTCAAATACAGTTCATGTTTCACAAATGAAAATATTTTAATTCAGAGGGCAATACTTCAAGAACAAAATCATTATCAAGCATTAGGTGGAAATATTTGAATTAAAATAATTTCTCTTGGGAATAGAATACATGTGAGTTCCATGACACTAATAAAATTTTATCAGACTAGTCAGACCAAAGAATTACTGTAAATTAAAAAAAAAACGTTTATTGTCCAAATAGGCACTAGACCCAATTACAGGAAACAGTATACAATTTTGGGATGAAAGTGTTAGATATTGAAAATATCTAGGGTGGACCATCGAAAACTTGACATGGAGGTTTTGGGTACTAATAATGCAAATCCTAAAAGACGCTCAGACGGGTCGATTTTTATTGGGAGGGGGACAGCTTTTTTTCCATTTACGGCGTCGTCACTTCAACCCCGGAGCAGAGCGATGAACAACCCTTGGAATTTTAATAGGGAACTGGGGGCGAGTCGTACATCGTTTGAAAGATCTTGGAATTCTGTAAACAACGGTGTAAATTTTTTTTAATTTGGACGAACAATATTAAATTTAGAGTTGAAGTTACTTACTTTATTCTCATGTTAGCATATGCTCAAAATGGGCACCTCAAGCTTCCATGCAATATTAGAGATTCTGCTGGAAACGTTCTTGAACATTGTGGAGCATTTCTGGAGTGATTTGGCGACATTCATTTGTGATTCGTTGCCGTAAATCTTCGATTGATGCAGGAGGAGTACAGTAAATTCTGCTTTTCAAATGACCCCACAGGAAGAAATCTAACGGCGAAAGGTCTGGTGATCGTGGTGGCTATTCGATAGTGCCCCGCCTCCCAATCCGGTGATCCGGAAAAGTCTGATCTAAATACTGCCGAACAGGCAGAACATAGTTGAAATATTAACAGATCCTCCCGATAATTGTGGTAATTTTCAATAATATCAGTGAGAAGGGGATTAATAGTATCTTCCAGAAACTCCAGATACATTTGTCCGATTAAATTGCCTTCTAAAAACAATGGGCCAACAATACGGTCACCAAAAATTCCAACCCATACATTTAATTTTTGTAGACGTTAAGTATGCACTTCATGGAAAATGTGAGGATTTGAATCAGCCCAATAGAGACAATTATGGCGATTAACTATGTCATTTAGAAAAAAAGAACATTCGTCACTGAAAATGTGGTATCACTGACTGATGAAAATGCCGAAGTGAGACGTAACTTGCTGTTATCCAAAGTAGGCCCGCATGTTTTTAAAATTTTAGTGGACCATTACAAGCCAGATGAGCCAACGACAAAGACTTATACAGCACTTATCCAGGTGTTAAACCGTTTTTATGGAAAGAAAGTGTACATATTTGCCGAAAGAAATAATTTTTCTGGATGTTTTCGTAAAGAAAATGAATCTGTGACTGATTATGTGAATCGATTACGTGCTTTCGCGGGGGACTGCAATTTTGGTATCAGTTTAAATGAAAGAATGCGCGATCAGCTGATTTTCGGTATAAACAATCGTGAGTGGCAGGAGAAAATAATCCAAAAACACTTATCTAACCAAACTTCACTGGAAGAGGTAGAGGCTACCGCTAGCCTTTTAGAGCAGGCATTTATACAAACAAAACAGTTATCGTGTTTTCAACCTTACCTACAAAATACTGATAGTTATGTGAATCGTGTAAAAAAATCAGACAGACAAAGTGCATCATCCGCCAAACAAACAAATAAAGTGCGTGAACTATTTCCGAATACTGACTGTCTCTATTGCGGGGACTTAAAACACCCACAAAGAAATTGTCTTGCTTCTAAAAAAAAGTGTGGCAGTTGCGGAGAAGAAAATCATTTTTCGAGAGTTTGTGTAATTTCAGGACATGCCATCATTAGACAATCAAAAGCGCGTAAATACGAGGGGAAATCAATACGTTCAACCCGCTGTGTTAAACATGAAAGTGAAAATGAAAACTGTTCTATAACTCAATTTTCAAACTGGCAACGCTACATTACTCCGTAAACATTGATTTATTGTACAACTGGCAACACCTGCTTGCACTAGCAACCGGTAAAACCTCGATCTCCATCTCTCTTTGCATCGATTACGTCACACGCGCCTCTCGCTCTTGCACACACATACACATCTTTACATGAAATATTAATTATTTCCCAAATCTAAGTATATTTTCCTATCTTCAATATGATAATGACGATTATTTCAGGTTTATTTTGGTTAATATAATTGTTATTTTCAGCTATTCATTTTCAATTCTTCTTTTTTAGTTGTTTCAAGGATTTCAAATCATTTTATATAGTAGACAATGGAAGTCCGAACTAGTGAAATTCAACATATATTTTCATTATAACCCCAACGGTACATAAACAAATGTCAAAGTTGTCAAACTTTACCACTCGCACAGTGTTGCCAAGTGATTAGGCAAATTTTACAGATGATTTCAGATGAATTTCCTTTTTTTTTTTGGCCATTTATTCACCAATTTATCGCTATTTTTTTCGTATCGGGACATCAGTTTCGAAAAAATGTTATTCTGCATATATTCATCAGTTTTTCAAATATTTTCATTTCTAACGTATTTTTCTTCTCTGCCAACCCGATAAATGATATGCAGGAAGGGTAAAGAGATTTCGAAACTGAGGAGTTGGCCATGTCCGTATATTGCAAATCTAAATGATTGAGTAAAACAATTACTATTCAGTTTTGACAGTTTGTGGCATTTGTACTGCTTTAGTAATGAATACAAGTTTGTTTTAAACTTTAGATAGGTTCTGAATTTTCCGAAGCAATACGACAATTATAGTATGGGGAGCTTTGCAAAAACTTACTTAAGAAAGCGAGTCTACAACTATTTCGAGTTTGTACAGCTCATAATTATTCTAAGCTGAGGCGTTTTCTGTCGATCATGTATTCAAAACCTATTCGACTGTGATTCAAATAAATTCGTTCTGGCGTTCAAACGATGACATCAAATCACCTATGATTTGAAACGTATTCATGATGATTCAAAACTGGCGTGAGGTTGGTTTTGAAAAGGAATTTGACGTTACGTCAGTTGTCAGTTCCTGCTTTATTTTGATCGTTAAAGTTTATGAAATTCTGAAAACTTTTTTATCAAATACGTTCTAAGGATTTACAAAATAAATCTGAGACATTATCACTTGCACAAATCCGATTCTATTTGATGTTAGGGAAAATTGAAAAGTTTGTTTTTATTATTGATTTTGACATCTGACACAAATTGAATCATTCCATTCTGGCCAATCGTATTATTATTGACGTCACTACGAAACGTTTGAATACACGCTCGAATGAGATTGAACGCCAGAAGACACCTCTATCCAGTCTTGATCGTAAATGAACCATAAATCTAGTTTTTGCAATGTTGCCAAGGCTAGAACTATGTCAAAGGTGGCTTTCTTTTATGATACAAATATTAGCATTGCTCACTTGCGTTTTGTTGGCTCTGTTTTTGTTCTGGAACTACTGAAAGAGTTTCCCATTCCATTCAATAGTAGAACAGATCAGGTTAAGTCAGGTCAAGTTAGGTAAATGCAACAGATGACTTCAGATGAATTTCCTCTTTTTTACCATTTATTACCAATTTACAGCTATTTTTGTTTTCATATTGGGACGTCAGTTTCGAAATAACGTTGTTTTGCATATATTAATCAGTTTTTTCAAATATTTTCATTTCAGGTTAGATTAGGTCAGGATAGATTAGGTCTCGTTGAGTTAGGTCAGGTTAGGTTAGGTCAGGATATATTAGGTCTGTTTGGGTTAGGTCAAGTGAGGTTAGGTCAGGTTGGGTCGGGTTAAGTTAAGTTGGGTCATGTTAGAAAAGGTCAGGTTGGATTAGATGAGGTCAGGTTAGGTTAGGTCTGGTCAGGTTGGATTAGGTGAGGTTAGTTTAGGTCTGGTCAGGTTAGGTCAGGTTGGATTAGGTGAGGTTATATAAGATTTGGTTAGGTTAGGTTGGGTTAGAGCAGGTCAAGTCAGGTTAGAGCAGGTGGATCAGGCTCTAACAGATTCACAAGAAGCTCTCAGTAAGGACGACAACCTTAAAGTATGACGACTAGGCAACACTAGCCAGAGCACGGTACTTCATATAAGAGGCATGGACATGGAGTCCGGAAAGGAAGAACTGGAAAAGGCAATAACAAGCAGATTGGGACACTGGGACAATAGCTCTATGAAGATCAGTGACCTTCGTTCCCAAAACAACGGCACTATGGCGGCCACCGTGACGCTAGGAAAGGACGACGCAAACATACTCTGATGGATGACGAGTATCTGCGGGTGGGCATTGTGAGGTGCTGGATAGAAAGGCATCTCAAAGTCGACAGGTGCTACCAGTGCTGGAAATACGGCCACATGTCGAACAAGTGCAGGGGACCAAACCTAACAAAGCACTGCTATAAATGTGGAGAGGAGGGTCATCATCAAATGGAGTGCAGCAATGAAGAGGCCTACCCTGTCTGC